AAAGAAAGGAGGTTTTTTGGATTAGTTTGTTCGATATTTATTGAAAATTTTTTAACCATTGATAATTGTTTACTTATTCTTCATTATGATAACCTAATAAATCAAATGATAATTGTTTATTCTTATGCCAATAATATCCTTCAATAGTTATGGAAGTTTCTGGAACTAATTTCTTAAAACTTTCAATTAGAGTATTCCAATATTGTTTGCGATGTTTTTGTTTTTCGGTCAAAGTTGGCTTCTCCCATAAGTAAATAGGGAAAGTAAATGAATCTTGGTCGGTAAAATTAGCCAAGTAATAAGTGTTGCCACTGGCATCACTTCCCATTTGAGGAGTATTATTAATTTTGCCGGTAATTTTGGCTAATTCTTTTTCTTGAGCCTGTTCCGCAGGCGTTTTCGTTTCTGATAATTCTGGTGATTTCTTTGCCTTTTCGTTAAAACATTTACAGTCATTTATATTTTTATTACAGCGGTCGCAAGTAGTTTCATCCACCACTTGACTTTTTTTTGAGTCGGAAGTCACAACCTCTTTTTTAATTTTCTCCTTCTTTTCCTTACTTGAAACTTCATGAGGAGGAGAATTATTTAACAACGCCTCCGTATCAACTACTACTGCTTTAAATCCTTGGGGATGATTATTAAAACCAACTTCTATTTTATCATCGTTCTTTAAAAAATAATCAACCGTGTTATTCTTTTCTTTTAACTCCTCGATTATTTTTTCCTGAACTTTTTTATTATCTAAATCCTTAAATTCTGGAATACTATTAGCAGCAAGTATTTCTCCCAAAGCATTAAAAGCCTCTTTGACTTCTTTTAACGCTGCTAAATACTTACCTTTTCAATAGTTTAAATTCTTTAATTTCTGCTGTATTCGCAAAGTAAGAAATCCTTGGGTGCTTCTGGGAGTTCCTTTCTTAATTATTTTCTTAATTTCTTTTTCTTTCTTAATCATTATTTTTTTATATTACTATTTCTTGATATCTTTACTTAAATTCTGTTTTTCCTTTATTTTACTTTTCTTTTTTTTAAGTTTTTGTCTTTGTTCTAATCATTCTCCAAAAGAAACTATCATGGCACAAACAAAAACAAAAGCAATGATAGCTAATAAAAAGCCAAAGACTAATCCAAATGTGCTACTAAAAAAGTTTCAAAACATATCTATTCAAAATCCTCCTTCTTCAAACTACTCACCTCATTTTTAACTAATAATACTCTTTCATCGTGCTGATTGGCTGTGGCTGGGTAATAAGGGGCAATTACTTTCATTTTCATTATGTGGCAAACAGGACTAGTAGGAAATTCCTTTTTTAACTGTTCATAACTGCAATGGGAACATGATGTTATTTTCTTTTGTTCTACAAATTTAACCACACTCTTACAAATATTCGGATTATCATCAATTACTAAATCATAATCAGAGGCATTTTGTTTAATTCAGTCGGCTTTGGTTTGGCCTTGGGTTTCACTGTCAAAAGGAATTAGTTCTAAATAACAATTAGGGGATTCTACAACTTTGAACATAGTAATACCCAAACCCTTCGTTTGTTTTGCCCCTCAAAACTGACCGAATGTCTTCCTAAATATTTGCCCTTTTCTACTGTCGCCATCTTCATTAGGAAATTTCCTTTTATCATAAGCAGACAAAAAGATTAATCTTTCTACTTTATCCTCTTTTATCAGTTTCAGTAAATTCTCAGCAATGGTTAAAAAAGGGGCTTGTTGGTAGAATGTTGGGGAGTTTTTGATTTGTTGTTGTTTTTGAAAAAATTTAGAGTTGACAGCTGGAGAATATTTTCCAGTTTCTTCCATTTCTTTGTTTCTTCTCTTTTTCTCCTCATCAGAATCTTTTCAATGAGCTATTTCAGAACCAAAAGGAGAATATTTAACCAGACTTCCTTGTTCGTCTTCCCAAAATTGGGTAAAAAACTTGGTGAACTCAACTGGGA